TTGACTGTAATTATTATTTAAAGATATTAATAAAAATAATAATCTTAAACAATACGTGCCCACACTAGTGGGGAAAAAAAAGGTCAAAAAAAGGAAAAAAAAAGACAAAAAGAACAAAGGACAAGGCAGGGAAGAAAAAACCGAACAAAAAAGAAAAAAAAGGAAAAAAAAGAACACAGGTATATATTATATATATATATATAAAAGTATATCTAACTGCTAAAGGAAAAAGGAATCTAGAGGCAGTTCTAGCCAAACTCCAACCTTTGCAAGAAAGCTATGCCCAAATTGGACCATATAATGAACAAAAATTCCCAGAAGATTTGACCCTACTTATAAATCCTTGGAGGAAGACAAATGGAGGTATGTCACACATAGAAGGAAACTATAATCAAAGAAAGAAGCAGCACACATCTTAAAAAAAACCTTGCTGCTTGAGGCAGAGAAAAACTTTTGGCTGACTACAAACTTATTATAAGTGATTTATTTTGAGCAGTGATTGAAGCAAAGAATAAGTATCAGACCTGGGAATTACAAAGGTTTTTTTCCCTCTTCTCTCTCTTCTTTTTTTCTTGCTGCGAAGGATTAAGAAGCATTAGCTTCTCTTCCGGTTTCAAAGTAGATAGATTAATTAAACTTAAGTTGGACCAGAATTTTGAGAAAAGATCTGTACAACTAACTGCAATCTTGGAACTGGATATCAAGGAAGAACCAAAGACTAAGATGACCCCCATTGCTTTTTTTCACAGCAATTGAAGTAGATAAATCTAAAGTGAATTAGAACTCTGAAACAAGGATTGTATAGCTAATTATATCTTTGAAACTAGACATGATGGAAAACTGGGAATTAGAAGAACTATGTGAAATTATAAAAAAATATGTATAAATCAGTAAAATTAAGCCTAAATAGAATTCTGAACATAGGGAAGCAGAGATCTAAAGAAGAATTCAAAGAAGAAGAAGGGGGAGAAATGGAGGGAAATAAAAAGCAGACAAAAAACCCCATCAGTTTTGGCANTGATTGTGAAGGTGCCCCCAGGGAGGGGGTGCTGGCATCAGGCTGGGCATTGACCGGCTCAGACTAAACCCAGCTTCCTGGCTGGCAGAGGGAATGATGCCAAGAGGACATGATCAGGTCAACAGTTCGGTCTCCCACTATGTTCAAGTAGAGCTCCAGTGGGGCTTGAACCTGCATTGCAGGAAGACTCCACTCTTGGGATGCGCGCACTCCAGGCTTCCTTTGGAGACACCCCACACCCACCTTCCTACAATTGCTGGGGACATCTTTATTTTTGTTTGCCAATTCCCCTTCACCTCTTCCTGTGCCTGGATGGGGGAAAAACACCTCATGGCATCCAGATCCGTCGTCCCCAACTGGGAGGCTCCCCACAACCGAATCCTGGCAGGACCTTTTCTGGAGTCTGCAGGGCCTGATGGGCAAGTGGGCAAAACCAGAAGAAGGGACAATGGTGGCATGAAAACTTGGTTGGAAGGCATTGCCCAAGCACCTCAGAAAGAGGCACATGACCTCTAGGAGCAACCTCCGCCCTTCGAATCGCAGGTCTGCAGTGAGCTGATCCACTGCCCATGGCTCCAATTGCCATGGCTCCAGCTATGCCTCCTCCAGCCTTGCCCACCATTCGATTCACTTGTTCCTGGGGTCAGGCAGCCCAGCTATGGTTGGCTGGGCTCTGTTTGACTTAGACTGCTCCTGCGACAGAGGGGGCTTGTGGGCTGAACCCCAATGGCCCACCAGCTTTTCACTCACTGAGGAGGAGAAAAACTAAAGCCTCTCTGTGCTTCGGAAGCAACTTTCCGGCATCATCCTCAGAGAGCACCACTGCTTGGGGATCAGTGGAGTCTCCCAGTTGGGGAAGAGGGATCAGGGTGTCCTGAAGTGTTTCCCCCCACCTGGGTGTGGGAAGAGGCAAAGGGGCACCAGCAGAGCAAGAAAGATGTCCCCACCAATTGTGGGAAGATGGGGAGGTTTACATAGGAAGACTGGTGTGCCCCCCAAGAGTGGAGTCTTCCTGCAATGCAGATTCAAGCCCCACCAGAGCTCTTCTTTGAACATGGTGGGAGACCAAGCTGTTGACCTGACCACCTCCTCCCGGCCTTGTTCCCTCTGCCAGTTGGGAAGCCGGGTTCAGTCCGAGCCAGTCATCATCCCTGTTCAATCATTTATTTACTAGGACTCTTTAGTAAACCAAGGAGCTCATGGGACAGGCAGGCAGGGAAAAATACTCAGGAGTGATTTGTTGAGCATCCTGGCTCAACAAATACCCATTAATATCACTGAGAAACTCCCCAACTGTCACCAGGAAGTGTTCTGATCCAGCCTTTGCAAGTACTACTCAACTGCTTACCCAGGAGGAAAACTCATTTTGTTTAACAAGGCAGGAATAAATTGCATTCACGGAAAAACTCTAGGTAAGAGTCCTTAGATCTTTCAATAAGCAGTAGCAGTCTCTGCTCACACTGGCTCAGCTAATTGCAATGTCTCTGAGTTCCCCACAGGGAGAAATCCTGGCAAGGAAATCCAATGGAGGGAACTCTCTTGTAGCATGAATGGTTGTCTATAGCAACCGATGCCTCCCACACCTCTCCTCTTTATATTCCAGCCAGGTTAGCATCTCTTGGAGAGTCAGCTCCCCAGTCCATTGTTGCTCTCCTCTCTTCTCTGCACACATGTGGGTCTAGGACAGGCCCTGGCTGTTCTCCCCTTTGCTGAGCTCAGGCCCCGAAAACAGCTGTCTCTCTGCCTGAGCGTGAGTAGATGGGCCCTGTTCTGCATCTGGCTCTGAGCCCTCTTGATCCTCAGAGCCTACCGCAAGCTCCAATGTTAACCCAGGAACTCCCTCCACCTCCTCATCTGACTTGACTGCCAGCTTCACTGGTAGTTGATGAACAACAGGAAGCTTGGTGGAGACATTTCATGTTTGAAATAGGCCATTTTAAAAAGCAGGTCCTTTCTTTCCTGCTCTAATTAACTCCATTGTCACAAGGAAGTAATCTGTCATGATAATTGATCAATATGAAAAGTCATCCAGCACCAGATCAAATGCATTTGCTCTTGTGTTTTTATCTACCTTGTTGGGTAGTGACCAATTAAGATATGAAGATTAATTACATTTAGGGATTTTTAAATTTTCCATGGAATTTCTAGCTGTAATACATAACTTTTCAATCAGCATTACTGATTGAGCCCCTCAACAGAACACAAACATTAAAAAGAAATTTTCATGGACTTTCAGCAGTCCAAATGTCCCTTAATATATTCAGTATGTCAATTCATATAGTTGCCATAGTAAGGAAGGGGGGGGAGCATATTCCACGTATAGTTTCAGCTAGAGTCGAATCTTAGATTACTGCAGCAGGATTGGGAGTGGTGTACCTCATTGGGGAATGTGATTTATGACACAGACTGAGGGAAGAAAAGGAACAGGGGTAAAGTTCAGCTATAATTCAAATGAGGCTCAGATCTGACTGCAATAAGGTCTTGACAAATGGTGCTCCTAATAAATGACTAGTTTTCTTTTGAAACTTGGCTCAAGACTCATGAATCAATTAGAGCATCTTTTGGAAACCTGACACAGTCATTCAATCAATATATTCATAGGCAATGAAGTGAACCACCTAATGGATAGAATTCACTGTACATACTTAATACTGCTCCTTAAGACTTCAGTTCAATGCTTAAAATTTAGTTAGAGCTGGTAGTGGGACTTAGGTTCCATTGAAAGAATAAAGAAAAATAAATCAATATATGTTTTTATGCAAAGTAAATTCAATTAATCATAGAATACATTGGAAGTTTTACTCAATACTTACTAATAGTTTTCAAATCCATAAACACATTTTTTCTTTTTTCAGAAAAAAATTCATAAGGGTTTCTAATCACAACAATAAATGTCTTTTTTCTAAGTCAATTCTGTTATCTCTCCTAATGCTGTCATTTTCACCAGCCTTTCCACCATTGTGGGTATTTCAGAATCTTCCCATTTTTGTCCATATAATAACCCTAGAGCAGTTATCATATATAAAAACAACCTTCAATATCTCTTCTCTATCCATTATTCTCAATAAGTTGAGTTCTGGTTTCAAATGAATATTAATCTTTAAAATTCTTTGTATCACTGCATGTATTTGAATGCAACATTTTCTAGTTATTTTTCAAGTCCACCAAGCATGATAAAATGACCCTTTATGTTACATTTCCAATTTAAATTTGAAGTAGTTTACAAATTACGAGAATGCTGAAACAACCAGCCATATTTAAACAAATATGTTATATTAATGAGAAAAACAATATATATTACCTTATTTTAATTCTATCCCAACATGTTCTATATTCTTAAACAATTCCATATTGTTCCTTCTTGATGGCAAGTAAAAATTCTATTGAGAATCTTTTGAAGCATTAAATGTCTGCCAAAATGTCTGCTAAAACTGTTTTCTTTGAACTCCTTTTACTTGTGGAAGAGAGACTAAGGTGTCCCTTCTTCAGAAAATGATTTTAGACAGGAATCAACTTAACATGTGCTAGTAAAAACAAAAACTCTAATATAATATAATGCCAAGTACTAAAGCCACTTCTTAATATTTACAATTATCTCCTCAGCAGTGTGTCATCCATCTACACATATAAAATTAGATCTCCTTCACAGTATTGGAATATATTACGAAATACCAAAAATTATTATCTACCTCTTTTTTCTCTCTGCCAACTGCCTGCAGACTTCCTTCCATCGGAAATTCAAGCTGTCCAATTTTTCTCTTAAAATGCTGGCATCTGTTGTTGATGATTGCTCAATAATCTCATCTCCAACGGTGTTCAAAGTTCTGACAACAGCTTGCTGCCTCCCAATGTCATCCTGAAGATCCTGCAAGGTACCAAATAATCTTATTAAACTAGAAAGCAATCCCCTTCTGCTTCATTACAGATCAAGAATGCCATGACAGATGTAGGCACAGTAAATATACATGATATAATCTTTTTTTGTCTTTAAATACCAAATTTATTTATTTTTTATAAGCATGAATTATTTTCAGATATGTTTCCCTTATGAATTTTGGTGCACAATAGAAGATTACGTAGAAAAGATTTCAAATATCTATACCAAATACAAAATACCACTTAATCTGTTGGAAATTTGAAAATGATTTATATTCTACCACATGGCACATACGTACATACCTTATCCTGACATGCAGATAAAACACACTTACTGGTCAACATAACAATCATCATTTTTAAACTCTGTCTATAGATCACTTATGGGAAATGACTAGCACGTGGGGGAATCTACCTTTGCTTTATAGATCATCTGCACAGGTAACTGTTTTTTGTTCTAATGCTGTTATATGACTTTATAAGCCCATGTATAGAGTTTTTTGAACAGCTAAAACTAATTTAATTTCAACACAATTTGCTAAATTATAATATTGATTATAATAGTAACTAAGTGAATTGAGATACTATACTCTCATCTAATATTAGTTATAAATTATCTTACCAACTATTATATTGGTCAATGATATAAATAATATTTATTTGTGATGGAAAATATTTTAAAGAGGATAATAGCATTCATGGGTGATAAAAAATACAAGATGGTGGTAGCAGCAATTTAATTGAAGACAAACCCCTTTGTTCATTCATATAGTACTGATCCATATACAAAAGTAGTAGGTTTTCAATCATGCTGGTGTGAAACCATAAGATTTCAAAACTAACCCTTAGCCTAGAGTTCAACAAAGTGAAAACTAATTTTACCCAAGCTAATGTACATAAAAATATAGTACAATTGTCTTGCTCAACACTCAATGGCAAATCATATATCTATCAAAATTAATCTAGATTGTAATCTTTATGATGACTTCTAATGTAGACCTTAACAAATGTTGACCTAAATTTTAAATAACTTGATTCTATTTCAGAAAAAAATATGTTTATAACAATTGCCCTATCACAAACTCCATATATATGTTGGTCTTGTTGTATTTATGTCTTTTCCCATGTAAGATTGAGATTGTCTTGGCAACATTTCGGTGAGGTCCCACTTGCCATTTTCATGCTGGTGTTTTCGGCTTCGTGCTTGTGCGAGTAAGGCGTGGTTGGAGCTGTCATCTTTCTATGAATCTTGGTGGGTGGGTATGGAGTGCTAGCTTTGTTGCTTTAAGTGCGTTGATTAGCTGTGTAGTTGCATCCTGATTGGTAGATGGAATTTACGTTTGTAGATTGGTTGGCTGTTTCGTATCATCCTGTGTGGCTGAGGTGCTGGCTATGTGGCTGTTGTTGTTTTGTATTGTAACAACTTGGGTGTTGGTTGGGCTTTGTTTGTTCACTAGGACTGGTTTCCAGTTGTCTGGTAGGTGGGAGATATTGTCCCGTTTATTCATGTTGTGGGGGTGTTTCTCTATTTTGATGGCTTCCATAATTATTCTCTTGTTGAAGTGTTCTGTTTTGGAGATTAATTTGGTTCCTTCAAAATCAATTTCATGTCCTGTTGCTTTAAGGNAAGCTTTTATTAATTTTATATTTAGTAACTATGTTTAAATATAAAATTCAGTAGAATTTCAGAATATCAAATGTTTTGTATTTCAAATCTGAGTTGGGAGAGGTGGTACTGTGAAACATTGCTTTTCTATTTGACTTTTTTCCTCTGAAATTTATACATGTATATATCACATACACATAGAGAGACAGACAGACAGACAGACACACACACACACACACACACACACCGCACACACATTGGAAAATTCCAAATGTTTAGTTAATTTGTTTAATATTTCATGTTATCAAAATGAAGTAAGTTCAGTCTGGCCCCAAGGTACAATATGTTTCTCAGATGGTTTAAACATCTTAATTACTGCTTAGAATAATATGAAACTTGAGTTGAATATAGATAAGATCAGATATTATAACCTTTATTGTCACTTTTTTTTCTGTGAACACACTGGAACACATTAAAAAATGAAATTCCAGTAACTGCTCTCAAAAGAATATGCAATGAAAGCAGAAAGATGTAATTCTTTTTTTTTAAACGTATTCATGAGCTGCTCAATGTATGAGTGGGTAGAATATAAGTTAAAACAAAATTCTGTACAATAAAACAAGTAAAAGATGCCAATAAGTAAGAGACCAACACCATTTCTATGCCACAGTTAACTCATATACTCCATCCAAGTGAACATGTGTGACAAACTAGGATTTCAATGCCCATTTAAAGACTAGTAGGCTTGGGACTAATCAAAACATGCAGGACAATGCCTATTTTACAGGATGGATAACTGTAACAGAGACAGCATGCTACATGGATCTCAATCAGATAGCACTGATTTGAAAAAAGATTTGGACCACATTGATTCTATAAGATCTTAATGAGTAGGAGAAAAAGTGGAAGAAAAGCAATCTTTTAGCTGCAGTTTGCAAGCAGTTTTTAAGAGCAGTTCCATATAGTAATTCATGTACAATGTGATTAAAACATATGCAATTATGAGAAGAGGCTCCTGATCAAGGACATGGTAAAACTGGCAGATTAGATGTATCCCAGTAAAGTCTTTTTTATTTAATCTATAAACAGAATCTGCAAACCTAGGAGGATCCTTAAATTCAATCCCAGTTCTGTCAGGGGTAGTTCCATTCAGCAGTAAAGATGGAAAATCCATGATACTCAAATAACTAGGAAGACACAGCCTTGGTAGGATGCAGTTTAAGTTTGTTTTTTCCCATCCAAATCCCAACAGCCTTCAAACCTTGGCCCTAAACTTCAACAGTATCAATTGGTTGATCTGGGTCCAATACATACAATTAGATACTGTCAGAATGCTAATGATGTCTGACCCTGTGTCAACCATTGTCTTCACAAAGTGGTTTTGTGTACAGTAGATATTAAACAGAAATGAGATCATTGAACTCTATGGCACGCTGAAACTGACTGAAGAGGAGGAAGGATAACCACCACAATATAATGCTTCCTTTTTCTAATCCCCCCCAAGTTGGTCCAGAAAGGTATAATGACTGATGCAACTGAAGGTTGGTGAGAGACCAAGAAGAAACAGAACAGCTAGAAGTCCTTAATTTTTATAATTAATGTTATATTTGCATTATGTCTGTTTTGTAACCCAGTTGAAAAGGGTCCAGTTGATTCTCTTCTTCTAGGGCCTCTTGAAGCTGTAGTCTGACCAAATTCATAACAATCTTATCCCAAAAAGGAATGTTGAAGGTTTGATAAAAAGTATTCAGAAATTTTGTGCCTACTAATGGGCTCTTGGAGATGAGCTCACTATCACCTCCTTGAAAGCAGTTAGAGCCAACCTTTCAGGCAAGGAAGAATTCACTATCACATGAAACTACCTGGCAAGATTTGACTATTCAGTAGATCATGGCTGAAGTGAACAGTTGAGCAGGTAAACATTCAAGAAGTAAGGGTCAAATACTTCCAGAGTAACGGGAGGAGTCTTAATCCACTCACATGAACCTGCCCAGTAATATTCTAATTCAGAACTAGTTTTGGATGATGGACTATCAGATAACTATTCATCAGCCAACTCCCTATCAGTATATTTCTCAAAGCATTTCCTATCATTCCTGCCCACCTCATTAGAAAATGGGCCACCTTAAACATAATAACAAAGAAAAGGAAGATCATAAAAAGGAAGAAAATGATTCCTTATCAATAGCTGGATTATTTTAGTGCTGGATTAGTTCATTATTGTCTTTAACTTCCTGATGTTAAAGTTGCTCTGGTAATGTTGGAGGCCTAGGCCGACTTGGCATACTGCTTTTTGTTGGATTATAATTGGGTCTGATCTGATAAGACCACCTGGCTCTTTCAGGCTGCAAAAACAATTGACTGGGGATTTTTTCAGGAACCCAGAAAGATTGTTCTTTTGACATCTAAGACAATACAGGAGAGGCTGCCTCTAGCTTTTGGAGAAACATCTGAAAAGAAGTTCACCAAATATAATTTTCTTTATCATATTTTCTAAGCAAAAGCCTAGAAACAAGGTTTGAATTTGTAAATGTATATTAATTTAGAAACTATTCCTGGAATTATGAATTTATTGGCTAAATATAATATTTTTCACTCCACATATATAGAATAGACATACCAACTAATAGCATAGTGTGCTCAAAATGAATCTTATTCAAAGCATTGAGAGAGCTTCATGAGGATTACACATTTCCCAGAAAAAGGAGTTACTTCTCTTGACCTCAGAGAACACATAAAGTACTACAAAGCAGAGCTAGATTTTTATATTCTTATGCCTACCAATATGTAACTAAGTAACAGGCTTATCAGTACATAACACGCCTGCTACTTCCTTAATTCTGCAGCTGTTCATTTCAAAAGCATCCCCTTTTCACAGTACATTCATTGTGGCTTTTGCTAGTCTTCAGAAACAGAACAAACTTAGAAATCCAAAAATGAGCTTCCTTGGTTTTTTTAAAAAAAATAGTAAGCAAAGAATTCCAAAAGCAAAATAAAAATATGTTTTAATAGGCAGAAATTGAGTTTATGGTATATACATTTGAATGCAAAGGTCTTTATTCAGTGTTGTGGGTTTTTATTTTTATTTATTTATTTGTCAACATGTACAAGGTAACAGGTATTAGTATCTGGCTAGTCCCACTAGAAAGATGAGACCACAGAATCAGATAAGACAGAAAGAAGGAAGAACCCAAGTTTTCAGTGTTGGTTTCTCTAAAGTTTACTTGCTTCTTGGATAATCTTTTACAACATATTTTCAAGGTGGTGATGGTGGAGGAAGTCCACTGAATTTGATTAGTGCACATGGTATGCAGGGGTGAGTTCCTGTACCGGTTGGTATCAGTTCGCTTTGCGCTTACTTCACATGGGCACCTGCCAGCAGT